AAAAAAAAGAAAAGAAAAGGCTTCTGGAAGACAACAGACCCACCTGAGGAGCAGAAAGTAGAACATGGGTTAGGCAAGAGTTTTTTCATCCAGAGGGGTAGGACCCCAGGTGAGCTCCAAATGTGCAGGTAGGTAGAGATCCGGCTCGTCTGAATGGCCACCAGATTGCCACCAACACCTAGGAGGAGAGCAAGAAATTAGATTCTGAGCTAGTAAAACAGCACCCTTCTCATTAGAGAGAAGGGTGGATAGCAAAGTCGGATCTCAAGTGTTTTCTGAAGAAAGGTAGTGCAAAAGGGTCGAAAGGAATCCAGGAAAGGAATGGGGAATGAGGATAAGGAGAGATGATGGGTCTATGGGAGGATAGCTGGATCAGCTACTTTGGATGAAGGCAAACCTCAGAAGTGGCCAAGTTGGAATATTTGAGACATATTCATCTTTGTTTTTACCTCAAGGTGGGGAGAGGAAGAACCTGGCTGGTGGATAATCAGAGGGCAGTGGAAAGAGCAAAGAGGCCACTATCATAGGGTGATAGACAGGCCACAAGGTGAGTCACCCAATGGAAACCTAGGTGGCCAGAAGGACTTTTAGGAAGAGAGACTTTCTTATGGGGTCATCTCAAACCGTGTACTGTGTGGTCTCCGTGGAGGGCTCCCCAAGTCCTTATGTGTTGAGCGGCTAACCAACCCTATCAGCTGCTTCCGGGAGAACCATAAGATCTTCTGTTCTCATCAAGAGTTAGTTTTGGGAACCCAAAGGGGAAGTTCTACCCTGTCTTATAGGGTCACGATGAGTCAGAACTGACTGGATGGAAGTGAATTTGATTTTTGGTTTAGGGATTATGAGTAGATTGATAGAGCACCAAACAAGACCAGTGCCTTAGCAGCAGCCAGGGGCCAAGTAAACACATGCATGTGGCTTCTCAGAGATTCTGGGGCTCCTTGCTGAGACCCTAAACTTCTTTAGGGTGTGGACAGCTGATCAGATCCATGTTGAACTCCTCTGTATATCCTTGGTTAACTGTTATTTTGAGAGGAGGGGAATGGGGTGTTCTTGATCTGTCTTCTTGGGCCCATGGAGGACAATCTGTCACTGGACCAGACAGGCCTCAGTGACCATTTCCAGCAGAAAGCAGACTGCCTTAGCTGTTCCTGAGCATGCACACAAAGGTCTATGGACCAAGGATGGCTACAGATCAATCTTTCTTTGAACATTGTTTATAAAAGACAGAAAAGCGTTAACAAATTAGACCTATTTATATAAAATCTAGCTTCTCTTCACAAAAGAGTTCTGGCAACTACAGGTCAACATTCCCACAAAGCAAACCTGTCTAGAGCTGAGCTGCCATTATACCCTTCAGGCTAGAAACATGCTGTGCACTTTGGTGGGTTCCCTATCCTTACTTACTGCCTAACTGTCCACTTGTCTATGTAATTCATTAGTACTGTGTGCATTGGTGGCTGCAGCCATGGGAGTTGGTGACATCAGAGAAAATTATTCTGAACTTACAGTCATCTGCATGTGATTTAGCTGTTGCTATCTTCTTTACTCTGTCTGGATCTTCTATGGGAAAACAAACAATCCTGGAAGGCAGGTCTTGGTGCCCACAGCTGGGTGCTGTGTACCTGCATGGGCCTGCCCAGCATCTCTGAAGTTCCTTAAGATTGGGGTCTGGGGACCAAGCAAACTTGGTCATATGGTACATGTTTTCTTCTCTGCCCGACTGGTCAGTTCCATTACAAATCATTTTCAGAAATCTGATACAAATTCAAGCTGTAGTTAAAACAGGGGTCATCAAATAACCGTCTACAGCAGTGGTTCTCAACCTTCCTAATGTTGCGCTGACCCTTTAATACAGTTCCTCATGTTGTGGTGACGCCCAATCATAAAATTATTTTTGTTGCTACTTCATAACTGTAGTGTTGCTTCTGTTATAAATCATAATGTAAATATCTGATATGCAGGATATATTTTCATTGTTACAAATTGACCATCATTAAAGCACAGTGATTGATCTCAAAAACAATATGTAATTATATATTGTGAAATATTTATTTCTAATTACAAATGAATGAAATTTTGTCTTGAAGAATGGTGTAGCATGGTTAAGTCTTCACGCTGGGTACTCATCTGTGGGCATATCTGTATGTAGGTAGACCGGCCTGGAGATGGATAAAGGAGCGGTGTCTTGGTTCCTAAGACCATAGGAAATATGTGTTTTCTGATGGTCTTAGGCAACCCCTGTAAAAGGGTCGTTTGACCCCTAAAGGGGTTGAGACCTGTAGGTTAAGAACCACTAAGGAGGTCAGCCGGTAGAGGAGACCAGATGTACAACCCTGGGAGTGGTGGAGATTGATGTCAAAGTGAAAAGCACCTGTTCTGGGTCTAGGCAGGCGTGGGACTGCCGCTGTTCTGTTCAGTATTGACCTAGCTGGCCTGCAAACCAAGCATTATTACAGCCTTACTTGCTCAGGGGAAGACAAAGACACAGATCTTTATGTGTTAAGTGTCCGATTTTAAATATCAGTTAATCTAAAGTGCACACACAATACAACACACCCACAAATAAGAAAGCATGAGAACCCAGCAACCCTGTGCTGCAGGCCACACTCGGGCAGGAGGCAAGAGGCAGGTTCTAGGTCAGCACTCCAAGCTACAGGCTTGTCAAGACAGCCCAGGGTCAGTGGCAAGGATGGGGACTAGGGCAAGTTGATGAGCATGGTGAGAGTTTCTTGTCTTAGCTCCCCCACTGAAAGGTAGTGTCAGCCTGCAGTTGGGGTTCTGAATGCTGCCACAGGGCCTGCAGTTGGATCTCTGCAGTTATTTCTACTCAAACGTGGCCAATTCCTGGAAGCCAATCTGGACCAGAAAGCACCCCAGGGACATGAGGAGATCACCTTGAATACCTACCACAAATGATGGGTGTGAAGATGGCCATATTTTGGTAGTGTGGTTCAGAGATGGTTTTGCTCAGGATGAGCCCTCCGAAACTGGGGAAAGAAGACAGTATGCCCATGGTCAGCAGGGTAGACTCATGGGGCTTGCCTGTGAACCTCCCTTCCCAGCTTAGCACCCACATTCTAGCCCCCTACACAAACTATATGTACATATAGGGGCATGTTGGTCTTCCAGCCTTCTCCCCAAACTGTACACATTTCCCCATATCCACCTCTGTTCTGAATCTCAGGTGGTCTAGAAGCCCACAAGAAAGCTCAGTCCATCTAAAAGGAAAAAAAAACAAGAAACAAAACATTTCCTGTGCTCCTCAGTTGGCTGGGCTGTCACATGAGAAGCCCATGAATAATAGGTCTTTGGTTCTAGGAAAACGTTGCAGTAATACTTTCTAACTCTAGACAGTTTGAACAATGAAGAGCCCAGCAGCCTTTGCAAGATACCTGGACCAGAGCCTCTTCACCCTGAGATTCTGTTAAAAAAACATGGCAGTGTATTCCAGAGCGGCCTTCATCAAGGTCTCCTAGCAGAAAATCAATCTCTTGAGGGTGAAAACACTCTGAGCCAGGGTACTGGGCCCAGCTTAGGCTAAAGGCCCAAAGGGGCACTACCTTCACAGCTTCTCAAGGTTCCTCCAGCTGCCATGCTTTGGAAATGGTACCTGGGCAAGTGAGAGAATTAAGATAGTTACAGCCTTGAGCCTTGGACCCACTGTAGTTTAAGAGGGACCTGGCTCATAAGAACTTTATTGGCAGTGGCTGTGTGATACCCACTGGACAACAGTGACCAGCCATGGCAGTAGCTGTGGGGGCACAACTGGCTTTCCCAGTGTGTGTGCCTCCTGGTTCCCTGGCTCTCGGAGCCTTGTAAGCAGGGTTGACTGTTTTAGAAAAACTAAAGGCCTTAAAGCAGTGGTGCTCAACCTTCCTAATGCTGCGACCCTTTCATACAGTTCTTCATGTTGTGGTGACCCCCAACCACAAAACTATTTTCGTTGCTACTTCATAACTGTTATTTTGCTACTGTTATGAATCATGCGACCCCTGTGAAAGGGTCGTTCAACCCCCAAAGGGGTCGCGACCCAAAGGTTGAGAACTACTGCTCTAGAGGGAGAGCAGCCTCAAGCAGATTTTCCACAGGCTTGAAAGAAGAGAAGTCTGGGACTGGGATTAAGTCATACAGGTCACATTTCATTCTAACCCCCATCATGGAGGTAAGGATCACTGCCCTCCCTCCAGGGGGCACCACACCCTCAGCTGCTCCAGAGGCCAGGGATGGCAAAGCGGGTGGAGAGAGAAGGGCGCAGTAGCCCTGTGCACACTCACCTGCTGAGAACCATTGCTAGAATGATGGGGAACCACCCGAACTTGAGGACCTTCAGGATGGATGGGCTCTGCTTCGCCATGATGCCCCACACTGGGGTCAGAGTGACAAAGACCACACAGACCAGCAGTGGCAGGTACCTGCTGTCTGCAAGAGGAAGAGAGGATGCTATCCCACTGCGGGGCGGGCCTGGAGCCCTGGGAGGGCGGGGGAGGTCAGAGGTCTTGAGGTCTGAGGCGAGATGCAGCGGCCTGGGGGTGCGTTGACTTGCAGGCCACTTTTTTGGTCCAGTTCAATGTAAAAATCACTTCCCACTAACCTCCTAAGTTGGAGCCCTTGTTGCATAGTTGCTTATACTTTAACCACAAAGTCAATAGTTTCAAACCACCAGCTGTTCTGCGGGAGAAAGCTGAGGCTTTCTATCCCTGTGAAAAGTCACAGTCCCGGAAACCCACAGAGGAAGTTCTACCCTGTCCTGCAGGGTCGGCAGGAGTTGGAATCAATTTGGTGGCAGTGAGTTTGGTTGTGGGTTTCACCTCATGAGTCCTTCTTGCCTCACCTTCTTCCAAGCATCGTAAGGACTGTGACTTGTCTTCCCAACAACGGAGTGAGCCTGAGGCTGGCAACCAGAGAGGAGTGAGTCAGCCAGCTGTGACTCACTCAGATAGAAAGGTCACATGATATGCATCAGGCCCAGTGACTCTCTTATCCTAAAACAAGCATTAACCTGCCGTCTGACTGGAGAGAGACAACCCAATGATCTGCCTCCCTGAGAAGACATCCAAGGAAGCAGGTATGGAAACGTGTGGGTACAGTAGGGGACACAGAGGAAGGGTTTGGAAGGGATGCGACTCATTTGTTTCGCAAACCGACACAAGTAATGAGTGCACATACTCTTGTCTTAAATACAGTGGGTGTAAAAATAAAATTAGGTGGTCTTACTCAACTCCTGCAGAATCTCCAAACCATTAGCTATGTTTGATAGGAGCCAATACGAAGGATGACAATGAGATGGCTACAGAACAGGGACAAGAAAGGTCCTAGTGCTAGTGCATCGTAAACCAGAGTGATGCGATTTCAGACGTTCACTCGAGAACATGACAATTTTCACAAGTGCTTTCACGAGTCGCTGGGCCCCAGCTTCCCCAGGTGACCACAGTCAAATGGAGCTTTGTGGAAGGTGTTCCCTTACTCTAACTGCCTTATACCTTCCCACTCCCGACAGCCTCAGCCTTGTCCACTCCATTCACGAACCTCTTACTCCCCCTCCCCAGGCATATGCATTGGGAACAAGGCTCAGAATCAACATGAACGAGTACAAACAGTTGTGTGCATCTCTCTAAAGGGGTTTTGGACCAAGTTGAAAGCCTCCCTAGTCCTGAAACAGAAATGGAACCCTCAGAGAAGGCTGCCCAGTTGTCCAGACCCTGCAAGGGGAGCATCGTGTGGTCTATGGTAATGTTGCCTGGCTCCAAGAGTAAGCACTGTTCCCCAAGTGGCACTCCTGTCTTACCTTGAAATGAAGGCCCTGCGGGCCTGGAACATAAGACATGTGGAGACCTCCCTGTGCCACTATCCCAGCCACAAGGCCACTTCTAAGGAGCCTGAGTGTTTCCTTCTTTCAAGCTTGCAGGGAGAATGCATACTACCGCGATTCTCACACTTTTCCTGTGGAGCCACGTCATTGGTTTACATGATCTGTCAACCTGTGAGAACACATCCAAGTGGTGGGCCAACCCTCTATGCCAGGCCCTGCCCCTCTCGCCCTACATCCTTGGATTGTAAAGATTGGCATTAACTACCTGTGCTTATGTGGAACCTAGTTGCTATTCCCTCACATGCTTGAGAGAGTAACTGACAGAGAAGATCTCCCATTTGTTGTATGACCTCAGGCTTCAAACCTGTCTGTCAAAAGAGGGCTGGGGGCCCCATGACACTGGAGGTCCCTGGCTATGTCCATGAAGTCCATCTGAATGAAGCTGGCTGGATATAAGAGCTCTCATGGAGTCTTGGTAGTAACCTGCCCCAGGGCCCATGCCTCCTTGGGGCTTCCCTACCTTTGTGTCTATAGAAGAAGCTGCTAACTAAAGCCAGAATGGACAATGTGATGAGGTCTCCTAGGCTCGCTGCGATGGGTGTGGCGATGTTGTCTGGGTTGATCCCGAACTTCCGAGCCCCAATCACTATGCAGACCATCAGTATTCCTGTAGGGACAGACAGAAGAGCAAGGAGACTCAAATCCCAGGAAGTCAGTGACTGTGAGACGGTCAGGAACACAGGTGGCCATGGAACAGGGCTGTGACAGCAGCAGGCCGTGAGGCTGTCTACAAGCTCTCCTTCGATTCCCAGGGAAGCCAGGCCACCACAGCCCCTGCAGAGTTTCTTCCACTACCCTGGAGGCCTGACATGGCTGCAAGATTTTGATCTATTTTGAGATGGGGGAAATGCTAATGAATGTCCAGTACATTTTCTATTCTTGTACTTTTTATAATTGATTTTCTTTCTGTTGTGCTGCTGAGAATATACACAGCAAAACACCCACTGGTTCAATAATTTTTACATGTACAATTGCACAACACAAATTACATTATTGACTGGTGCCACCATCCTCACCCTCCGCTTTCTGAGTTGTCCCTTTAACATAAACTGACTGATTCCTAAATTTCCGATCTAATTTTGGATTGGAAATGTGGGGTCAAACAACGTTGAGACTAAGTGTAATATATATGCATATATCTCCACCACATGCCTGTCGATTTCTCATACTGTGGTGGCTTGTGTGTTGCTGTGATGCTGGAAGCTATGCCACTGGTATATCAAATGCCAGCAGGGGTCACCCTCCAGAGGAAGCAGGCGCTTCCTTATGCATAGCATAAACCTTATGCACAGCATTGAAACATTGTCAGATACCGAAGACCTCATGAATGGAACATTGTCTGACATAGTGCTGGAGGATAAACAAAGTCTGTGGGAGTGGAATCTTCCAGATCTTCGTTTGCTGATGGGGCACAATTCAAGGTACAAAGAAACAGTTGCAACAACTACTAATCATTGGAACTTGGAATGTATGAAGATCTAGGAGATTGGAAGTAATTGAAAATGAGACTCAACGCATAAAGATCAACGCTGCAGGCACTGGTGAGCTGAGATGGACTAGTATTGGCCATTCTGAATCAGAAAGTCATGCAGCTTACTGTGCCAAGAAAGACACAAGTAAAAGGAATAGCATTGCATTCATTGCCAGAAGGCACACGTCAAGAATTGTCTTGAAGTACAATGTTGTCTGTGATAGAATTACATTTATCTGCCTTCAAGGAGATCCAGCAAATCAAACAACGATTCAGATTTATGCACCAACCATGGAAATTAGTGCTGCAGAAATTGAAGAATCTTAACAACATATTTAGTGTGAAATTGATCGAACAAGCAATCGAGATGCATTGATACCATATATACTGGAGTATAAGCTGAACCGAATATCAGCCAAGGCACCTAATTTTACCACAAAAACTGCATAAAAAATGTGCTGAAACCTCGGCTTATACACGATTATGTACGGTAATTATTGGTGACTGGAATATAAAACTTAGAACCAAAGAGGAAGAAACAATAGTTTGAAATATGGAGTTGGTGGTAGAAATGAAGCAAATATCTTTTTTCAACAACACAAACTGCAACTATACACATAGACTCCTCCAGTTGGAATACACAGAAATCAAATTTACTACCTCTGTGGGAAGAGATGATGGAGAAGCTCACTATCTGCAGCTAAAACCAGGCCAGGGGCTGACTGCGGAACAGACCATCGATTGCTTACATATAAATCCAAGTTGAAGAAAATTAAAACAAGTCCACGGGAGCCAAAACACGACCTTTAGTCTATCCCACTTGACTTTTGAGAACATGTCAAGGTCAGATTGGTTGCACTGAACAGAATGACAGAAGGGCTGAAGAGTTGTAGGAGGACATTGAGAACATCATGTTTGAAGAAAGCATACAGTCATTAAAAAGATAAGAAAGAAAGAAAAGATCACCATCGATTCAGAAGAAACTGAAAACTTGTTCTTAATCTTAGAGTAACTAAGACAAATGGAAGTATTGATGAAGTCAAAGAGCTGAACAAAATTTCAAGGGGCATCTAGAGAAGACAAAATAAAGTATTCAGTTAGAAAACCAAAAAGGAAGAACATGCTCAGCATATCTTAAATGTAAGGAACTCAAGAAAAAAATTCAAGTCTCAAGTTGAAATATTGAAAGATTCTATAGGTAAAATATTGAATGATGCAGGAAGCATCCGAAGAAGATGGAGAGAATACACAGAACTAGTTGACATTCAACCACTTCAAGAGGTTGTATATGAACAAGAACCAATGGCGCTGAAGGAAGAAGTTCAGCAGCACTGAAAGCATTAAGCCAAAAAAGGCTCCAGGAATTGATGGAATATCAGTAAAATGTTTCAACAAGCTGATGAAGCATGGGAAGCACTCACTCACCTATGCCAGGAAATTTGGAAGACAGCTATCTGGCCAACTCACTGGAAGAGATCCATATTTGTGCCCATTCCAAAGAGAGGTGACCCAACAGAATGCTCAAAGTATAGAACAATATCATTAATACCACATGCCAGTAAAAATTTTGCTGAAATTGTCCAACAGTGGTTGCAGCAGTACATTAGTCGGGGGCTTATGGGTTAAGGTTGTAAGTAGTGGTGGTGGGATGACTACAAAAGGGAAACCAACCAGGTAGGTGGGGCTCTCAGACTTCTTTGGAGCGGCCAGCTTGAGGCTCTTCAAGTGTATTAAATGTTTCCGGTGCTTTGCTGAACCTCTGTACTTTTACTTTCAGTAAAAATTTCCAGTGCTTTGCTGCATGCTGTCTTTTGCCTGGATACTTTCTCCCAAAAAGACTAAGAGCCAAGGAATAGAACCAGCCTGAGATCCACCATACCACAGACAAATACAGCATGGTGACAGGTCCAGAAGAGAAGCAGGATAAAGCACGTCCTTCAAAAACTAGTGGTAGCTAGTTAAAGGCTCTCCCTTGGGCTTCAATCCACATGGTCGACAGTTCAAAACTACTAGCAGCTCCTTAGAGGGGAAAGACTGGGCTTTCTACTCGCATACACAGCTATAGTCTCAGAAACCCACAAGGGGTCGCTATGCGTCAGCATGACTCCATGGCAGTGAGTTGTTGCTTCAAATACTGAGAACATAAATAAGCCCCTGTATTCAGGTAGCATTTAAGCTTGCAGGGTAGGGAACAAAGGAAAAATTAATAAGCACTTTGAAGTAAACAAAACAAGCTCTTAAGGTAAAGTATGTCTGGATAGGGAGGATACTTCGGAGTGCTGACCAGAGAAGGCCTCCCATGGGTAGTGACATTCAACAATCACCTACGTTATCTACGTGCTCACCCTTTTTTGTTGCCTCCCTCTGTACTAAAGGGCACGTCAAAGAACAGGGCCCTGTGCACTTTGCTCACCAGTGTGTCTCCAGCACTTTGAACAGTGACTAATCCACAGGAGTTTATAGAACCACTAGAATAAGAACACTCCCCTGAAAAAGCAAGGAGCCCTGTGGGGTAGGAGCCTGATAACCAGAGTTGGTGGTAAAAAGCCACCAAGTGGTCTGCAAGAGGAAGAGGCTTTCTGCTCCCATAAAGGTGACAGTTTCAGAAACCCAGCAGGGCAGCTCGACTCCATCCTCTAGGGTTGCTTTATGTTGGCATGGACTGGGTGGCAGGGGGTGGGTGCATAAATGCATACATGCATGCGTGTGTGTTTCCCCACTAACGAGTGTGCCTCCCCAGCAGACATTAAAGGAGTGCAAATGTGGTAGCTCCCTTTAGTCTAGGAGCTTGCTTAAGAAGGTGGCACATGCTTTCTTCACTGCCCATTGGAGGCCCTCAACCCTTGTATGATACCCGCAACTCCCTTACTGTCTTTCTTTCTGGCTTCTCCAAACCCAAAGCAGACTCACGGCCCTCCCGTTGATTCTGACTCGTCGTGCCATTAGAGGACAGGATAGAACTGCCCCTGTGGGTTTCCGAGACTGGAACTGTTTACGGGAGTAGAAAGCTCGGTCTTTCTCCTGCGGAGCCGCTGTTGACCTTGCAGTTAGCAGCCTAACACTTAACCACTCCACCACCAGGGCTCCTCTGGCATCTTCAGGAATGGAAAATAGAGAGAGTTGGGAACAAGGCACTAGAGAGCTGGACAGGTGAGCAGCCAGTGGGGTGTGCGAGGATAGGGTGAGCTCACCTAAGGCCAAGGCAGCGAAGAAGGCTGTGAGGACACTGCTGGCACACAGCAGCCCCACCTTGGCTAAGTCCACCTCCTCGCTGGACACGGCTCCCAGCAGCAGGGCGGCCAGAGCAGCAAGGAGCCCCACAATAGTGGCTTGAACCTATCAGGACAGAAATGGAAAACATGAAGTCAGGTCCATGGTGGACAGCAACGCCCCTCCCTTAAGTAAGTCCCTTCTAGGACATTTGTGGGTCCAGAAATGACTCTTTGCCCTCCCCTTTACACCTGCTAAAGCAGCGGTTCTCAACCTGTGGGTCACAACCCCTTTGGAGGTCGAATGACCCTTCCACAGGGGTCGCCCAATTCATAACAGTAGCAAAATGAGAGTGATGAAGTAGCAACGAAAATAATTTTATGGTTGGGGGGGGGGGTCACCACAACATGAGGAACTATATTAAATGGTCGTGGCATTAGGAAGGTTGAGAACCACTGTGCTAAAGGCTTCTCAACTCCAGAAAAAAACAAAACAAAACAAAACACAATACTAAAAGCTCCTTTCAGTTCAGTTTCCTTGGAAACCACAACTTCTTTCCTTCAGTCACTTGTCAGACACCGTATTTTTATTTTATTTTAACTTTTGAATTGGGAGTAAGTTTCCAGAGCAGATCATCAGTGTGGTCCTCGGTGATTCCTGCACATTTTGCTTCATCTCAGCATTGCAAGCCCCTCAAGACACCCTCCTTTATCCCACGCTCCCCCTGGTGTCTTGTTTCCGTGCTTCCTCCTTTCTTGGCCTTCGGAACTTTGTCCTTGGGTAAATGCTTCACTTTTGAGTATTCTAAAGTTTGCATAGCTAGGTGGTATTATTTCTCCCCTCACAGATCTGTTTATTGTTTGGCTGAAAACTGAGGTAGGAGACCCGAAAGGTGACTCAGGGCCACAATCCTAGGGTCCCAACAGTCTATCTCACCAGAAAGCCCACTCTCCTTGCTGAGGCTGAGTTTTGCTCCATAGTTTCCTCTCCCTCTATCCAGGAGCTTCGGATGCCATCCCTTTTAGAGAAGGTGGTAGTGGGAGGTGGGAGCCAGGAAGCATTTTGGTTCTTCTGGTCTCAGGATGGTAGAGACGGATATTCCTGACTACTCCCCAGGGTAGGATATAACACATTGTCTTTCAGGACTACACAATGTCCATGCGCCGCAAGACTATGGTTGTGAGTCTCCAGGCTCAGTGACTCATTCCCTTGAGGCACATGGTTATGTCTGAGAAGTTGTCATAACACTGCCCCCCTTATGCTCCAACTCATTCATGGATATATTTGCAGCACAGGATAAATACCCAGGTACAAATATCTGCCAATGCGACCTTTGATTGTAGAATTGAATTCTACATGATACTCAATCAAGGCTACCCAACCCCTTGTTCAGAAAACCCATTAAGGGGAACTGATAGCAGTGATGGTGAAATAACCTCCCTCGAGGGGCACGGACCAGGATTGTAGGTGAAGGGCTAAAAGGGGTAGTTTAAGATATGTATAAATAGCAATACATAATATATTAAGGGTTTGCAAGGGTGGCAGGGTAGGGAAGGGAAGGGAGGGAAAAAAGAGGAACTGATATCAAGGGGCTCCAAAGGAAAGATAATGTTTTGAAATTGTTGATGGCAATATCTGTACATACCCACTTAATATCCTGGATGTAGGGACTGTTATAATATAGTAAGAGTCCCAATAAAATGATTTATTATTAATAATAATAAAAAGAAAGCCCCTTAAACGGATCCAAGCAAAACCGCTGTCACATGTCTGCAGCATGCTCCCACACGAGAACCGCGGGGATCACACTGCTCCATGGAGGTCTCCCTACATACTCGCTTCTCTCTCAAGAACTACTCTTCCTTGGAACGTACCCTCCACAATAACATGATCTTTCTCTCCCTTCTCCTCCAGGAAAGCCCATAAAATCCCAAACCTGGGCTCCGCTGCATCCTAGTTAAGAACAACGTCTCTGTTGCTTGTTTAGATGGCACAGATCTGAATATCAGTATTGGAGCTTCTAATTTAGAATGTCAAAAAATGAAACATCTATTAATGAACATTGAGTAAATAAAAGCACTCGACCAGGCATATCAATGAAAAAAGTCAGTATTATAAAAATTAAAACTATTCATACCCAAGTTTTTGCAACTCTAGTAAAAATTCCAATAAGATTTTTCATGGACATTGACAATGAATTTTGTTTCATATGGATAAGTAAATGTACCAAGACAACTTTGAAGGTTAAATAAAAAAAAGATCAACTAGAGAATAGTTGTCAAATTCATTATTTACATATTTTAAAGGCAAAGTTATTAGAACTGTATACTACCTAAAGCAATCTACAAATACAATGCAATTATGATCCAAACCACAACTTTATTCTTTCAAGAAATAGAAAAACTAATTATCAACTTCATTTGGAGAAGGAAGAAGCCCAGGATAAGCAAAAAACTTATTCAAAAGAAGAAAAAAGTAATAGGCTGAACTACCACACCCCAAAACCTACTCTACAGCCCCAGTAGTTACAACAGGCTGCTGCTGGCCCAAGGAGAGATGTGCACCAATGGAACAGGAGAGGAAACACAGAAATAAAAGTGTCCACCTACAGGCAATTGATTTTTGACAAAGGACCAAAAATATGAAATGGAAAAGGGACACCCTCTTCAACAAATGGTGCTGGAAAAATTGGATCTCCATCTGCAGAACAATGAAGCAAGAATCATACCTCTCCCACGTACAAAAATGAACTCAAGATGGATGATAAATATAAGTCCGAGAGCTATAAGGATCATCAATGAGAAAATTAGGACAAACTCAAGGGCCCTATTGAAGGGCATACACGGACTATAACATACAATAAAGAAGCACACACAGTGGAAGGCATAATGCATGTCTGGAACTGATTAAAAATAAGACTTTTATGCACATCAAATACTTCATCAAAAGAGTAAAATGAGAACTTACAGATAGGGGAAAAATCATTAGCAATGATACAAGGGACTAATTACTAAAATCTATAAAATTCTACAACACCGCAGCAAGAAAACAACAATTAATCCAATTAAAAGGTGGGCAAAGGACATGAATAGACAATTCATAAGGGATGGAGTGGCTAACAAACACATGAGGAAATCCTTAAGATCACTAGCCATTTGGGAGATGCTAAACGAAACAATGATGAGATATCACTTACTCCCACAAAGATATGGCAATTAAAACAAACAAACATAGAACAACAAATGCTAGAGAGGATGCAGAGAGATTGGAACTCTTACACACTGCCGATGGGCTTGTATAACCATTGTGGAAAGTCATATGGAGCTACCTAAAACAACTGGGAATAGAAAAACCTTATGAGCCAGCACCACCTTTACTAGGTATATACACATGCCAAAGAAATCAGAGACAGACCTGAACAGATGTGTGCTCTCCCATGTTCACTGCAGCACAGTTCAGAAGAGCAAGAAGCTGGAAACAGCCCAAATGTAGAAGAATGGATAAAGAAATTGTGGCACATACTCCCAATGGAATAATACGCATCCCTAAAAATAAGGATAAAACCATGGAACACTTCATGCCATGGATGGACCTGGAACCAATTTTTCAGAGTGAAGTTAGTCAATCACAAAAGGACAAACCTTGTATGAGTTCACTACTATAAGGAAAATCACCAAGAATAAGGCAAGCTTCTGCTGTCAAGTCATGTGATCTAATCTGGTTTCCCAAGAAGGCAGTAGAGAGCCTGCCTCATGCCCACCAGCAATATACCACCCCCTTTATGTGTACATCACAAAAAACCCTTCAACAGAGGTGCCCTCACCTCAGCTGGGGTCAGTTTTTCAGGATGAGGGGAGAGGGAGAAGACCATTCAGTTGTTGTCATATAACATTGTGCTTAGGTCACCCCAAGTCAACAGGACCTCTTACCAGAGTGTTAAGTGAACCTTACTGGAAATTCAAGTCCCGATTGGGGGGCAGGAGGTATGTATGTCTTAGAAAGAGTGATTACATTTCCATTGGTGGGTAAACTGGATGGAGCTGCCTGCCCTCGAGAGGGGTGGGGTGGGGGTGGGGTACGTAATAATACTTATAGAGAACCCAGAGGGAGAATACACCCCTATTATGTTCCTTATTGGACACTTTTGACCTAGTTTCTATCTAGCCCTTGGTGACCCAGGCTATAGACTACTGGGACTTTAGACTCTGTCCTTTCAAGGTGAACAGCATCCTTCATAGGTCACAACAGAAATATTCACTGTGGAAACCCCACTAAGTGAACTGGGCTTTACCTCAAACTTACCTGTAGCAGATTTAAGGAACTGACATACTGTATTGGGATTAAGGCTGAATTACAGTAGTGTAAGAAGAAGCAGATGACTGCTATCCCAAGGTTATGGAATTGAAGGCTGTTAATCTTCGCTCCCTATCTCTTTTTGAGGGTGCCCCATGAATGGTGACCTGGGACTACAATGTATTTATTATTTTAATGCTCTCTTTGGTTTCTTAGATACATGTATTAGTTCTATGTCATGTATTAGTCTGAAGGCATGGTTCTGTCTTTGTATATAAGCGTTAGTTAAAGTTTTGTCCTATCATCAACTCTAATTGCTCATTTAAATAGTGCTTAGTCACTTAAGAGTTTACTCTGTATAAGTCAACAATTCATATGTTGTGGTCTGAAGCTCACCTATATTGTATAATTTCCTTTTCTCAACAATGTTCTAAGTTATCATTGGTTAAATCAATGACCCTATCAATAGAATTACCTTATACACTTGAGGGATGATCTATAAGATTCTCTATCATGAAAAAAATGATGTTTCTAAAGTGAACCAGAGACATATATAGACCATGGATATATGAATGGATTTTGGCCCCTAAGAAAATTCTAGGGGCCCTAATTCTAGCCCTTAAGAACAATTAGTTCTTATGACATAGCCCTACTTGTCCTCATGAAGAGATCACTGAAGATAAGGGTACCATAGTAAAATATAGCGAAGAAACCAGACGATGCCCAGCTATTCGGAAGAATAGTGTCTGTCTTAGAGGCTTGTCTTAAAACAAACAGCCATCTAAGCAAAGCATCAACTAAGTTGATATGGAAGAAGCACACAAGCTGTGTGATCCAATGGTTGTAAATAATAAAATCCAAATCCGAAGGAAAGAGGAGTATCAGAGCCTAAATTGTGAGCAGGTGGATTGTAGAAGGCTATAGACGACAGGGGAAGCCCCAAATCCATTTGCAGGGTCCACACATGGAATAAGTTTCTAGTGAATTACATCTGATCAGTGAAAAGCTTTGCTATCTGACAGAGAATATGTAAAGCCAATTGTGGCAGATGTGATTAGGTTAAAACTTTATCATTTGCTGTCCCCTTTGACCCATCTTAATTTCACTTTTTAATATTTTCTGCTTTCTTTTCAATTAAGGTTTTTCTGCGTGTCTATTCATTATTGTTTTTGTTTGGTATGATTTTCTGTATATGAAATCCAGGATAGGCAAATCTAAAGAGCTAGTAATTGGATTAACAGTTACCCAGGGGAACGGTAGAGAAAGTTTCTGGAGAAATGGGGAGCTAACCATGAGTATAAGGAGAAAATTGTTCTGAAATTGATTGTGGTGATGATTGCACAACCTTTCTTAATATGATTGTACAATTAAATTGTATGCTCTGTGAAGAATATGCTCATAAAACTGTTTTTAAAAAGAATAAGCAATATTATAAAGGAAAGAGACCAAAGTATAAAAGAAAAAACTAGTCTACCGTGTGAATACCCTCCCCAAGCCATTTATCCTGAGCCCAGAAGAACTAGATGGTTCCCAACAGATAGACCCTTATGGAGTGAGGAAAAACAATATGGAACAGAAGTCAAATCCTCAAAATGTCTAGACTTATTGAACCAGTTGGGACTAGATACCTCTTTAAACGTTGGATCACAACTTTCTCCTGAGCTCACCTTTTACAAAACAACAAGCTGGCATATAAAATAAAGAATGTTATCCCTGAGTATGAGGTTTCATTAAAAAACCAGTTAACACCAAAAGGTCAGTAATCACTCTCAAGTAAAGATGGGAAGATAGGGGACAGAGAAACTAGAATACTGGAAATGGAATAACCAGAGCACAAATAAAGAGAAGATTGAGACATTTAAAAATATAACTAATATTACTGAACAATTAGTGCAGACGTTGTCAAATGGGAACCTCATTTGTTTTGTGCATGTTCACAGAAAACACAATAAAGTGTGTAAAGTATTAAAAAAAGAATTGTATGTAAAAGGTAACCAGAGGAATGCCAATCAGGAGATTATTCTAAAAATACGTGCAGTCTGAGTCCCAATGGTGGGAGAGAAGCCAGTTAGCACTGTATAGACCACGAGAAAGAGAAGTCAGCAAATTTAGGCAAATCAAAAACTTTAGCATGGAAGAAAAACAAACGGAAAAGAGAGGGAAGCAGGAAAGGACATTGGGTTCCAGAGAAGGCACCGAGTTTCAGGTGGGTATGGTGGTACCCTCGGGTCAGTCTGGGCCTCTGGTGGCGAGGTGACTGGGGTCTGTATACAGGGGCACAGGCTCCTTTAGCTCCCACTCTTCCTACCTGGAGCAGGACTAGTATAAATTCAAAAAGGAAGATCTTCATATACACGATACAGTGGATATTCACCTGAACAAGGGCAAGGTTACTGCAGATGACTCTGTGTTGCTCTTGGGGGTCATCAATTTGTCCCGTGTTGGCCTAGAATGAGAGAGAAAAGGAAAGGGGTAAGTTTGGCAGGTCCCAAAGCAAGATCAACTCTTCATTGGACAAGGCAATTTCTCAAGAGCAAAGCCAACAAATCTCATCTCATTGGTGGCAGAATTAATAACTCTGCCCAGTTTTCTAAGCAGTGATGCAATTTTTTGTGGGCAACATAGGAGAGGGGTCAGAATGCAAAATGGATGGGTGTCAAGGATCATCTTCCCAAACAGACATCACCTACAATTGGAGGTGATCACTGACTTCTACAGGTTTGGACAGCTCCCTGTAAGTAGGTAGGTCTTTGGCCATCTTCTCTTCATTTGAAACACCCATCAGTAAATCACAAGTCCAGTTCAATCGCACCTCTGCAAAATTACCTTCTGGAAGCCTGCAAGTCTCTCTTCTCTTACGACAAAAAAAACAACAACCCCAAAACAACCCAGGAATACAGCTTTTTCCTTTAACAATTACCATGTTTCCCCGAAAATAAGACAATTCTTATATTTATTTCGCCTCAGGAAGACACACGCTGGCTTCTTTTCAGGGATGTCTTATGTTTCTTAAGTGCGGTACGACAGTCTACATTGATTCACAGACAGCGAAGTCGTCTTCTTCTGGAACACCGACCGCAGTGTGCTGAGTCACACGGCAGTCACAGCTTCCTTCTCCCCCCCGAGGACACACAGGCCCTAAAGCAGCGCGTCCTGCTCCTCACTGCACTGAGGCGACCTTGACTCTCACTGTCTGTGTCTCTCTCTGCCTCATCTGCTGCACAAAGGACGGGGACCTGACAGGGGGAGCCGACCTTGCGGATGGGCTGCCCGCACCTGTCCGGTCCCCTCCGAGACAGCAGCTGTCATGATGGGGCAGATGAGAGGCCTGCCCGTCTTCGTGACTGCTCCGTGCGGTGCACTGCAGAGCCACGCCTATTGCTATGTCTTATTTTGGGGGGATGGCTTATATTGCCCCAATGTTTAGAAATCCTGCTATGGTTTATTTAGGGGGATGTCTTATTTTGGGGGAAACATGGTATAGTTCTCTTCTAACAGTATAGCAGTTGACAGCAAAATCCAAGACCTAGGATTTAAAAAAAGATCTGAAAGCAAACATGCTCTACTAGTTCATTAAGCTCCTAGACCCCAAGAAAAGAAATATGAAGATGGGTCAACTGCTAACGAACTTGATCTTTACTTTTTATATTTACAAATACAAACAGCTAAACTGTTGTTAGCATGACAGTGGCACCTGGGGCAGGTCACCTATCTCTCGATAAACGTCTATCTCCTCACCTAAAACAGGCACAGCACCTCACAGTGTTCTTGTGGACAGCAGAATAGTGGCAAAAGCCCACAGCATGTTGAACGCCTAAGGCTGGTGGGTCCATTTCTCAAATATCCTTTCTCGTCTGTTCCCAGAGTTGAGCTGTGTGTTGGCCAAGGCTCAAGAGGATCTACTTCCTGTTTCACTGAAAATATGTATTAATCATTTAAACTCCAACCCTGGTGCTAATCCTATCAGAGAAGAGGGTTGTTTCTAGCTCATATGATCTCCTAGTATGAATCAGAAAAAGGCATTCATTCCTCAAGACACTTAATTTCATCTTTTGGAAAGCTGCTAGGAGCCCTGGTGGTGTGGTGGTTATGCATTAAGCTGTGATCCTCAGGGTCAGCAGTTCAAAGCCATTAGAAGCTCCTTGGGTTTTCTACTCCTGTAAGCAGTTGCAGTCTCTGAAACTCACAGGGGGCTCACTATGAGTTACCATTGACTCAGTGGCAGTGACTTTGGTGAGTAAGTCAAGCTGTTCAAATAAACATACAAAATTTTCACCTGTGCAGCCCTTCAAGACCTTGCTTTTGAAAATGAATTCTTAGATAATGACACCAAAATCACAAGCAACAACAAAAATTGGACTTTAAATGTAAAACCTTTGTGCATGAAATGGCTTTATCAAGAAAGAGCTAGCCTTTGGAATGGAGAAATTTTTGGTAATCATACATCTGATAAGGCTTTAATAGCCAGAATAAAAGCATATAACTGATTCCTGATTCCTAAAACTCAACAAAAAACAAACTGTCCAATTGAAAACACTGGCATGGGGCTTGAATAGATGTCGTTAAAAACAAGCAAGCAAGCAAGCAAACAAACAAACACAAATGGCCAATAAGCATATGAAAAGAATTCAAAGCCATTAGGGAAATGCAAACCAAATCCTCAATGAGATACCATGTCATGTTCATGAAGATGGCTATTACCCGTAAAAAAAAAAGAACATACAAGTGTTGGTGAGGATGTAGAAAAATTGGCGCCTTTATCCACTGCTGCTGGGGATTTAAACTAATGTAGACCCTTAGGTGATAGAATGGGCAACAGCACAGAGACAATTTTATTTGTGATCACCAGGGGCCGAGGAGAGGAGAAAAGGTGGGTAATGCTTGAGGGGTTTTTGATTTGGGCTATTGAAAGACTCTTGGAAATAGATGGTGATAAAAGTTACACGATTTAGTAAATACTATCAATGCCACTGAACTGTATATAGTTCAATTGGTGAAAATGGAAAACTTCCTGTTCTATATATATTACTACAATAAATTTGTTCATCTAATAATGAAAAATGATTTATTTAAAAATTTTTAATAATAATGTTTCAATTGTTAATTAGGTGGGAGTTTACATTTCATCAATTTAGTTTAAACAAAGTTTAAATGGCTAATCAAACCTTCAGATAGTTTATCCTTTACCTACTGCTTGATTGAATCTCCCTCTTGTGAATCACTATCTTCCATTTCACTCGTTACTTGCTGTCAACAGTCTACTACTCTCTTGCTTTATCTTCCCTTTCTTACTCTCTCCCACTTCAGCACTCTCCAAATTTTTATTCTTTATAATCGTGAACTCATATAATATTTGTTTTTAAATAAATCATTTTATTTGGGACTCGTACTACTCTTATCACAATCCATACATCCATCCATTGTGTCAAGCCCATTTATACATTTGTTGCCATCATCATTCTCAAACATTTGCTTTCTACTTGAGCCCTTGGTATCAGTTCATTTTTTCCCCTCCCTCCCAGCCGCCCCTTCCTCATATTTGCCTTTTTGTGATTGGCTCATTTCACTCAGTAGAATGATCTCCACTTCTATCTTTGCCATGAGGCACTTCATGGTTTTATTTTTTGCAATGTAGTATTCTTCTATATGTTTATATCAGAGTTTGTTTATCCATTCTACTACTGATGGGCATTTCCATCGTCTTGCTGTTGTAAACAGTGTTGCAATCAACATGGGTGTGCCTATGCATGGATGGATAGTGCTCATGTGCATTTCTTCTTATGTATCTTGGCCTCTGGGATGTCATCTTTGGTGAACTGCTTGTTCATGTCCTTTGCCCACGTTTTAACTGAGTTATGCACTTGTCCTTTTTGAGGTGCTGCCGTTTTCTGGGTTGTGTCAGGTGTCACGGAGTCACTTCTGACGCATGGTGACCCTCTGCACAGAAAGTGACACGCTGGGTCCTGTGACAATCCTCATGGTTGTTCTTGTTTGATCGCAAGGTTGTAGCCACTGTGTCAATCCATCTTGTAGAGGGTCTTTTTATTTTTCACTGCCTCTCAACTAAGCATGATGCCCTTTTCAAAGGACTGGTCTCTCTCTCTCTTTTTTAAATCATTTTATTGGGGGCTTGTACAATTCTCATCAGAATCCATACATCCATCCATTGTGTGAAGCACATTTGTACATTTGTTGCCCTCATCATTCTCAAAACATTTGCCTTCTACTTTAGCCCTTAATAT